GATGTCCGTGCGGGTGATGGCGGCCGCGATGTCATTCTTCTGGAGGGTGCGGCGCTTGTTCTCCTCGGCGTGGATCCAGGAGCGGATGGTGAGCTCGAGGATGAAGAGCTCGCAGGCCTTGGCGAAGAGGATAGGCGCCTCGGCTGAGATCATGCGGACGTCCTCGTCGGCCTTCATGATCTTCTTGATCCTGGCGAGAGGGAGCTGGTGATTTTTGAAGTCCGTCACCTGCTCGATCTCCTGCCGTTGGAAGTTCCAGAACAATTGCAGCTGCTGCTGCTGTTGCTGGAGGAGATGGTGGTACGCTGGCGGTGCCGGAGGGTAACCACCGGCTGTCTGAGCTGCTGCGGCAGCCGCCGCCGCCGCTTGCTGGGGGCTGTTTTCCATTGTTTTTGGCAAGAAAGAGACTGACAGGGATAGTGGGCTTGGAAAAAAGTACGCCTCACCCCGTTTTTATACACCCGATTTGATTGAACAAACAGAAATTTATTTTAATTTTTTTGAAAAACAGCAAATACAATTCTTGATAATTTGTTACAACAAAACGATTTTCTAAAAAAAAAAAAATTCTAATCAAACATTTTAAAACAAAATATGATTTTACAAGTGATTTATACTTTAGTGTCATCAACTTGTTAAGTTTTTAATAACTAGAGAGTATGAAATAATCTTATCATTTTCAACCGAAATCAAAATTAAAATATGTACTCCCTCCGTTCCAAAAAGATTTACACGTTTCAAAAAATTGTGTCCAACAATCTCCTTTCTATTTTTATTAAAAAACCACTTTTACCCCTTACTTTTTCAAACCTTACCTATCACATCATACCTTTTTTCTAATAATCTACACATCACATCCTACTTTTACCCATCACATCAAGAGTATTTTTGGAAAGTCAACACAAAATTATCCCTCCCTTAATTTCAACTCTAGTCAAAACGTGTAAATATTTATTTAAGCTATACTTTATACGGAGTTTAAGAAAAATAAAATTGTATGTTTGAAACTGATGCAGAAGAGAATGAAAAAAAACCGAGCCACAAAAAAACTTTTCAAAAAAGAAATGTGGAAAATTAATTTAGGACATTTCAAAAAGAAAGATTAAGGACATGTTCTCTTCGTTTGATCTGAATGAGTATGATCTGATCTGAATGTAGTTATATTTAATGCTATTTTTTATCTGATCTGATTTCAATAAGAATAACTAATAAGTACAAAAAATAAGTTGGGGAAAACATGACCTAATTTGAGACGGAAGAACTATAAAAAATTCGGTCATTTTTTTATTTTAAAAGGGTGCATCTAACTGACAAATACATCATTTTAAAAATTTAAATATTGGTCAAGAATGTTCCAATTAAATCCACAATAATAAAAGTATAAAATTACTCCCTCCGTCCCACTATATTTGTCCACTTTCATTTTTACACACCATCCAATACACTTCTTTAATCAATTTTATCTTGTAATTTGTATATTAAAAAATTATAGAAATTATATGTTAATAATCTATATGTTAAGACAAATCAAACAAGATCACACATGACTATATTTAGGCTTACACATTGAGAGAATTTGATGAGTCAAAGTGCTTAGATGAACAGTTCCAAAAGTCAAAACTGGACGAATATAGCGGGACGGAGGTAGTACTTGCATAACGCACCACTTGTTATGCACCAAGTTGTACAACAAGAGTTTGTACTTGAAATTCTTATGGGATGTAGTGACATAAAATGCATGTGTAACCCAAAATTCCACACTAAAATTTTGAGTGCTAGTGCAAGTTATCAATATGTCAGTATAAATCTTTGGTATACAGCAAGTGATGTACACCTATCACGGTTGAATCCACAATCCGAATTTGAAATTAAATTATATCTACAATTTTTTTAGTCTAATTCAAAATGGTAAGATCGTTGCATAAATTTGTCATTGCACTGCAATTTCATAATATACATAAAAATGGAATGAACCAATTTGTTCCCAATTAGGATCGACTAGACAATTACTTGGAACTAAGTAAACAGAGTTATAATCTTTAGGGTTGAAAAATAAATATTACCTCCGTCCCAGAGTATTTGTCGACTTTCATTTTTACACACCACCCAATACACTTATTTAATCCATTTTATCTTGAAATTTGTATATTAAAAAATTATAGAAATTATATATTAATAATCTACTCCCTCCGTTCTCAAAAAGAGTTCCTACTTTGAAAAAGTGGAAAAATAAGGAAGTGTTAAATTATAGTTGACTTCTAATTTTGCCCTTGATGTGATAGGTAAAAGTAAGATGTGATGGGTAGATTATTAGAGAAAAAGTATGATGTGATAGGTAGGGTATGAAAAAGTAAGGGTAAAAGTGATTTTTTAATAGAAAGTGGAAGTGTTTTGTTGGAAGTGAAAAAAATAAAAGAGGAAGTGTTTTTGAAAACGGAGGGAGTATATGTTAAGACAAATCAAACAAGATCACACATAACTATATTTAGTCTTACACATTGAGAGAATTTGATGAGTCAAAGTGATTAGATGAATTGTTTCAAAAGTCAAAACTGGACGAATACTCCGGGACGGAGGGAGTAATTAATTTTGAATCGATTTGTGATTCGCATTCGAAATCAATGATTCGTATTCGAAAAAATAAGTACGAATAAGAATATAAATATTTATTAGAATTCGAAAGAAAGCGATTAGAAATGTATATGCATTTGATTCGATATGTTAACGAATATATTCAAATATAAATATAAAAGTTTATATCTAATATATTGCTTCATAATAAATATAGAGCATAATAGATAGTCTTTCATAGTTTGTTTTTTTAGTATAGTACTTCATAGTTGATACTTAATAATACACATTTAGCTTTTGGGCGCCATATAGAAAAAAAGACCTTAAATAATTTTGAACGAATGTGTAAATATGAATTGAAATATGGAATAATTATAAGAAGGTCCAATATCATAAGTTCATACTCTATAAAATCAAATCACTATCTCACTACTAGAGGAGTACATAAATCAAGTACTTAATATTTTCTCATTCACATGCTTAACTATTTTGATCCAATGTTCATGCTTTATAAAGTTCAAACTCTATAAAGCCTAGTACTCCCCAATATTTTCTCATTCACCTCTTCAACTATTTTGGCACATTAAACACCAAAATATCCATGTAGCCTAGTTGAACATGATTTCATATTCTAACGACTTAAATCGTTGGAACATATTAATATACAACCATGTTAGGGGTACACCAAAAATGTACTCCAAGTTGTACCCAAAAAAATGTACTAACATTATAACGGTTCACACTGGCAGAAAATGTTAGTTTAACTAAAAAAATTATCTAACATTTTTAATCAATGTAACTCATCACACTAACATCACACTAGTACAAAATATTGGTGCATGCCTTTGTGATACAAAATAGGGTACAAATTTTGGTGTACAAATAGCTTACAACCATGCTAGGGGTACACCAAAAGTATACCACAAAGAAATCCACTGACATTTTAACGGTTCACACTGACAGAAAATGAAGTTCAATTAAAAACATTTGCACTGATATTTTTTGTCAATGTAAAGCATCATACTAACATCACACTAACACAAAATATTGGTGCATGCCTCTAGGTACAAAAATGAGGTACAAATTTTGGTGTACAAATAACTTCATCCAAAAAACCATTAATATATGTTGGCTCCAAAAAGGCTGCCCGCAAGCCCGTTTGGCTTTATTTTTCCAACACAAAACTTGGGACCTATAAAATGGGTTGCTTCTGGGTTTCCCAAAACCAGTGGTGACTTCTAGATGGGCAAGTGTGTGGTCAACGCTTCCCTCAACACATTCTCCACAAGGTTACGTGGACAAAAAGTTCCCGTGGTGTCATCCGGATCTACCTCAGTAAAGGCGACATTTGGGCTCTGTACAGCGAGTGGTCACCCGAATGAAACGAGTTGACTCCGGACGGTGTGATTCACAAGTATGAGATGGTTCAAATAGTTGATGAATCCGAGGAGGACGGAGTTGCTAGGGTTGTTCCCCTGGTCAAAGTGCATGGTCATAGGTCGGTGTTTAAGCAGCACGCGGACCCCAACGAAATCCGTTCTATCTTAAAAGAAGAGATTTTCAGACTATTCTGACTATCCCACCAAATCCCTTCTTATGTCTGCATCATACTTTCTCTTTAAAGCGAAAAGTATCCAATGTTCATGGTTTTTTGGAGTGAAAGGTGACCATTAAAAAACTTATGTTGTGTATTAGTTTTCTTGCACACGAAAGCGCTCTTATTTCTTTTTATAATTATATATCAATGACTAATTTGTAAACAAAATATATTATTTAATACATAATTTTTTATTAGATGTGGTAAAATCTTAGAATTGCTGTTTCATTTGACTCGCTTGCATTGATCTAAATAGGACGTTCTTGGTAAGAAATACATACATAAATTTATCTTTGTGCAAGTTATTACTTTTCTTAATTCAACTATGCCTAGATCCTATATATTGAATATCTTAACTTTAAATGTATACATAAATCTCTAAGTTACACAATTAATTACGGAGTATATTATTATCCAAAAAATGTACGTCAAATCTTAAAGATTTCACCTGCCCTTTCCCCTAGAGCATTGAATGGATAGATATAAATAGTGTTTATTGGATATATAACGAGTCAAAGCATGACAGTGATTATAATAATACATTTGAAAATGGGTTTGTACGGAGTATTTAAAATATATGTATGGGCTCGTAACACAATGAGATCTACACAAAATAAAATTTAACTAAGACATAAAAGGGTTGAACAATGACCTTAATTATATATATATTCTTGCCAAGAACATTATACTTATATCAACATACGAGCTCTTTGATTTGCAAGAAAATTAATTTATAACTGAAGTTCAATGAAATACACAAGGAGAAATAATGAAGAGATTTCGAAAAAATTAATAAACATGATCTAAATACGGAGTATAAAATGAATAAAAAATCCATTATTGTCTTTCATTTTTGAAGTAAAAAAACTACATATTTCTACTTGTATTCTTTACAACCATTTAATGTTACATTTCACAAAAAAAATTCTCTCCTATGTACTCTTCATTGTCACGCCATAAGAGGTTCGGTTTCATTTAAACACCTATCTTTTTAACATTCTATACATTTGGCCCTAATTCCAAAAAGTCACTTCTCTCATATAGTTTTATGTGCCCTTCATTGTCATTTCAAAAGAGGCTTTGTTCCCTTTGATCACGGGTGTCATCATCTCATCAGTCACAACAGTGCTCTTAATCATTGACTTTTTGCCCTTTCGTTTTCTGAAATATGTCAAACGAAAACGTGGGTCCACAATGTCGGGTTCTTGACCGTGGGGCCTCCTTTCTCCTCCCACCTCCTTCCCATGTTCCTCAACTCTTATGACATCTAGGAGTTCGAGAGGCAAGGCCGCGGGATCAAGCTCAAGAAACCCTGTAGAGGGGGGAGCGTTTGGACCTTCAGAACCCGTTATCACATAAGAAGGGATTTGGTGGGATAGCCTGAAAATCTCTTCTTTTGGGATAGAACGGATTTCGTTGGGGTCCGCGTGCTGCTTAAACACCGACCTATGACCATGCACTTTGACTAGGGGAACAACCCTAGCAACTCCGTCCTCCTCGAATTCATCGACTATTTGAACCATCTCATACTTGTGAACCACACCGTCCGGAGTCAACTCGTTCCATTCGGGTGACCACTCGTTGTACAGAGCCCAAATGTCACCTTTACTCGGGTAGATCCGGATGACACCGCGGGAACCTTTTGCCCACCTGACCTTGTGAGAGAATGTGTTGAGGGAAGCGTTGACCACAGACTTGCCCATCCAGAAGTCACCACTGGTTTTGGGAAACCCAGAAGCAACCCATTTCATAGGTCCCAGTTCACTGTTAGTCTTGGAGTTCAACCAACTGATGCATGTCTTGAATGGTCTTTTGGACATCACCTTCTTGATCATGGCATAGTATCTTGGCATCCCATCATCACAGTCATAAGCAGCCCATACTTCATTCTCTGCAAAAGATTCTTCCATTCTGTCCTTATCAAAATCATGAAACTCTGAATCTGGAACACTCATTGTTGAAGACTCAAGAAGAAGATTATCTGATGATGACAGCTTGTCATTGTCATATTTCTCATCTTTGTCTGTTACATAATTCCATTGCTCTACTTTCTTTTTTACTTCTGATAAGGCCTTCCCTATTAGCATATTGCGCATCTCCACCCCCATAACTTTGGGTTTGGTTTTTTTATTCACAGAAACATTTTCTTTTGAAGCCATTATTTGAGTCATCATCCTCTTTCTTTTGAACCTGAATTCCTCTGCTTGAGTAGCAGTAGCTGGACAGGAAGGTGGCACCATTGGCCTCATTTGGCCAACCCCAGAAGACATTTTAGACGGCATTGTTGCCATGTTTGGAGGAGTTGGAAGGAGTCTCGCCCCAGGAGAGGGGCATTTTGGGAATAGCCGATCTAAATGAGCTCTTTCCTCTGTTGCCCAAAACGGCGAATGGCAGCGGGCGCAGGCAATGAGTTTGTGGATGTAGACTACTGAGTACTCGAAATGTGTGCCACATGTGCTGCATTTAGTCCAGAAGGTCTTTCTCCCTGGCAGGAAAGCCGGTGGTGGTGGTGGTTGTGTGGTGGTTGGCCGGATATTACTAGCGGCGGTTGTTACAGCGAGCCGTTGTCGCATGTCATAGCTAGCTCTTTTAGCAGGATCAGACAAGAGACTCCAGGCTTCAGAGAGTATCTTGTAGGCCCCACTGGCCCCGCAAGAGTCGTTCTTGTGGGGCTGTAGGGTCAAAGACATCCTCGTATAATGCTTCCACAATGTTTGGTTGTCTGCCAAAGAATCCACGCCGAGGATGGCGTACCAGTCTACTTCTCCATTGATTGTCTTCCGAATGTTACAGTAGACGTTGATGACTTCAACCAGTTTTGCGAGCCCATCAAGGCCCGCAAACAGGTTTTGGGCTTTTAGAGCGAAAACTCGGGCACCAACAAAGTCCTTATCCAACAGCTTCTTCTCTGCAACTTCTTTTGCCTTAAGGGCTTCCACTCTATTGATCTCCATTCCAAGACTTTGTTGTACTAAGTAGGCTGAAAAAACGAGAGAACGTATGAAGGAAAAAAGGCTCAAATTTGCCATACGTTACGTAGGATACACGACATAAGAAAACATCATTTTCCCCTAAAAACATTTTTTGAAAGTCGGAAACAGGCATTGGGGATTCAATGGTGCTTTAGGTACACAACCCAATTTTTTCTGGGTTTTGTGGGGTGGGACCAGACCAATTCGGCGTCCGGCTCCGGGTTAGTAACACTGCTTTGGATGTGTGTGAAAAAAGTACGGTGCACAACTTTGGCTGGGATCTGATCTGATTTTAATAAGAATAAGTAATAAGCTGAAAAAATAAGTTGAACGGAACAGACCCTTCATCTATCTACACAAGAGTGGCATACAAAAACAACATTTTTGTTTTATGAACAACGCTAGAATGTGGCGAGGGAGAGTTAATATCACACGCTAACGAAAGATTCAAACAAGGAAAGGAATTGAAACTGCATAAAGTTGAGTGAAATGGTTGTGAGGAAATGCAGATCTTAATGCATAATCTAATACAAGTATTAATGCAAACCCACTTGTTTAGATCTATCACAAATCACAATTGGATCCTCCATAAATATGTTCATGTAAACACACTTTGAATAGATCCATCAAATCCTTCTTCACATTCTTATTAAGAAGATCCCAAATTAATGAAGTGAAATCAACTCCAAAACATTCAATTTTGTTCTTTAATGCAAAATTGAAACTTTCTGACACATGCTTTAAACAAAAGTGAATTGAATGAGGAAACAAAACCTGGAAAAAATTAGCATTAATGAAGAACATATACAGAGCAGAATCCAGCAGATATAATAATATGCACAATTTTTAAATAAAATGTAAATTCAATAACAAAAACTAATAATTTCAGAAAAGCTTAATTACCTTGAACCTGGCCTTTAATAACTTCAAAGTTCAGCCCTGCAAAATTTTCCAACCAGATAAATAAGAGGAAATTTTCCTTTACGGAAAAAATAAACAAATAAATATGAATTCAGATTAAAAAGGTAAAACAGCATTATAGCTTTTTTATATTTTTAAAAAAAATAATAATAAATAAATAATAGAAATAAATTATAAATTACCTGTATGTATATGAATCGTTCTGATGAGTAATGCAAGAGCGCTTAGAGTGAGAAGAAATTGGTTCGTCAAATTTTATGATAAAAGGACTGAAATTCAGATAATATTTGTGAAACCCTTGAAAATATTCCTAAGTATTGGAAAAATAGCAGACATATTATATTGGGCGGTTTTATTATAGGGAACCCATTAACATTAACCCAACCGAGGTTAAATTCTAAACCTGATTAAAAATTTGACTTGACAGGTAATTAAGTGCATGTATTAATATTTTTTCCTATTTTATTTTTTTAATAATGATATTTCCTTTTCTGCATTGTTTTATATTCTCCTTTTTCATCTGTGGATTTTGGTCTTAATTAATAATGACTTGTTTAATGATAATTAATTGTTTGCTTAATTTATCATGTTTGAAATTTGGAGGAAAAATTCAGTGTTTACCATTGGCATTATCATAACTAATATTCACAATTTTTAAATATAATTTCAAAACCTAAACACTGTATTAGGGGGGCCTTTAAACCTCCTAGAAATTCAAAACAAAAAATCAGGTTTGAATAAAACAGTGAAACCCAGCAACACTAATCTTTTTTATCACCTTCAAATGTTAGATTAAAACATTCATTAGTTAAAATTAATTTTTAATGTTTTTTTTCTTTTGCTGCAGTTCAAGTGAGAAGAGTAGAAAACAGTAAAAAAAAGTTTTTTTTTATATATGGATTTAATCTATAATGTATTATCATCTTAGTGAAGAAGTTCAAGAAATGAGAAAACCATTAGGGCTAAAAAAGAGGTGTAAAATGCCAAAAATTTTATATTATTATATTTTTTTCTCCACTTTAACGTCTCGTTGTGGGGTACGTTTATCAATGTATGATCTAAGTGTACATGTGGCAGGCGATGGATAAATTCGGCTGAACTTAATGATCAAATGAACAGACTTATCTTTATCGTAAGATTCATGTGACAAGATTGTGACTCAAAAAAATGATAAAAGTGTCGTTTTCTTCAATTTCGCGAAAAATGTAACTCGTTCATCCTTTTTTTTCTACCACAGTGTGATACATCAGAATATCAGATATATTGCCATTTTGACTTCTGAGTGTGAAATCTTTCAAATTGTTGGATGATGGGATCTTTAAAACAAAAAAAAAATGCTGCAAAAAAAAATCTTAGTACCAATTATGCAGATTCATAGGAGTCATTGGCAAGGCATATATTAACATTAATGATATGAAAATGAATGAAAAACTTGCTTGAATAAATCTAAAGAAACTATATACCACTAAACTAATGATTTATCTGAGGTCTACATTTATCAAACTTTATTCAAGACAGAACATTTGTGGATATTAGCTGAGTAGTTCAACAAGAAACATACATAGCTTAATAGGAAATTGTATGATGGTGGTTTATAGAGAGCCTGCATGCCTACCTGTTGGTTTGGCCCGGCCCATTTAGGGGTCGGTTTCGGTCCGTCTGTCCTGCCCTTTTGTTGTTTAGCCCGGTTTAGTATCCCACACCGGTCGTCTGTTGGGTTCCGTTGTTTGGGTTAGTATATAAATGTGGAGAAACCTCACTATTGACAGTAATGACAGCAACAACAACCTTTTGGAAAGACAATCAGTAAAGGATGCTTTGGTGTTCATAATCAAACAATATGGCAAACATGAAGACATATTTTAGAATCTCAACAGACTACAGGTCCACAGTTATTAAACAAAAGAGTCTCAAGTTCAAACTTGTGATGTCTGGTTCAACGAATTTGAAAAGGAAAAAAAAAGAAAAAGAGAGAAAACAGTTCTTTGTTTGGTTAGAGAGGAAAAGAAAAGAAAATGAAAATGCAAGATGTACTAAGAGGAGGGAAAATCAAATTCCTCCTCTTTTGTTAATGAAAATGAGAAAAAACCAATTTCTTTTCTTTCGAAATTCCTTGAATTTTGTAGGAGTGAAACATGATTTTACTAATTTATGCGGAGTACTCTTTTGTCTAAGGATTGACCGATCAAGATTCAACGAAGAATGCAGATTTGAACCACAAAAATGAAGTGTGCTTCAACTATGATGGGAAAAAATAGTGTGATGCAATATTACTATTTGTAATGTTGTTCACGTATAAAACTTTAGATAAAAATAAACGAACCATTAGAAAACGATGCCTTTTATCTCACAAATGCAACGTAAGCAACTCGATACGTAATATAAAAGAAGTCAAATTGGACAAATACACTGAATTAAATATTCTCAAAATTATTTCTGTTCCAAATTTTCATGGGAACAACAATCGTTAATACAGAGCGAGTACATGGACAACGTCATTATATGAATGTAGTAGGCATAGCTAAAGTTCATATGATCAGAGTACAAAAAAATGGATTCTGCTACAGTCACAGCAAGGTTGACACCGTCCACAGACAATGACCATATGTGCAAGATTGTGGTGTTACCCTTGAGGCTAAAGTAGCACTGTTGCGACAAAAAATTGGCGGTATGTAGAATTTACAGCATTCAATCTATTGCCTGACAATACATACAATCGGCATCCTGATCGAAAAACTCCTTGAATTGTGCCCCCAGGAGAAAAGAGTTGAGACTTGTCGCCATCTCGGAGCCGATATACACCAATATATAAGGAATAATAACGCAAATCACATACCACCGCCACTGCCACCACAACAATAGTTGGTTCTTCAGAATGATGAGCTTATGAGTTGTTTCTTCTCAAGAAGGCTAATATGCCTAAGGCAGCAACTAATGCAGCACCAGTGGCCACGGCACTGTAGGCTGCTGCCCATGCATCTGTCTGATGAGCATATTCCATTTCCATACCGCTCGATCTAGAACCCCCCGCCCTACGGTGTGGCACTCTTGAGTAATCTAGATGCAACCTTAGTCCCTGTGGGTCAAGCATATGTAATTTTCCAATGTCATGGTTGTAATTATATGATGCAGAAGAAAAGGGCACTCAAGTTTACATAATGGATTACCTTCCAACCAGCCGACCTTGCGTGCTCAACAGCTGTGATCAGATCACTGTCCGATGCAAGTACAACTTTGTCATGGTCTTCATCCTCATACTGCAGTTGAAAAAGTTTTGCACGTAAGCATTGTGGATGAAGCAAGAGAATGTCTTAATTGGTTATGTGTGAGCGCATGTGTGGGAGCATAAGAAGTTAGTTGAAACATAGATGTCAAATAAATATGCATTATTACAAGTTTTGAATCCTTTTGTTTAATACTATTGAGTATTGAAATTTGTAAGACTGAGTTATATTGGATTTTTAGGTTGACTCTTCCATTGTGTGGGTGCATGAGTTTTAGGTGTCCCCTCGGGCATTTTTGTTCATGAAATTAAAGTTTGAGATCACCAGAATCTGAGGAAGGTTGTTCCAGTGAATGTCACTCCCCAATCTCTGAAGGATTGCAGTGATGAGATCCGTCATGTTTCGGGTATCTGAGCACCAAACCGTAAGGAATCAGCAACATGGGTACATGAAGAATCATCACATTTTATTTGTTACCATATTTCAATGCAATGAATGACAGAAAATTCCCAAAATAGAAGGATAAAGAAAGTTGCAGCAACTTGGATAAATAATATGAGAACTCGAACTTGAATGTAATGCCATCAACAATAACAACCCAAAACATCATTGAAATTAAGAAGCAAAGGAAGTCTGATGTTCCATTTTGATTTAGTTCATTATTTACTCGGAGTTAAAACATTGTCAATTACGACCCTTCTAGCTCCATTGGCAAAGGAGCTAGAATGTAACATCATGGTTATAAAACAAACATGCAAGTCATTCAAACATATTACATACCGCTGGTGAACCTATGCATCCTTCCCTTTCCGTCTTGGATCTTAAAGGAAAAAGTATTTGGCAGTGTTGACGAAGGAAATGGAAGTGATATTCCCGTCTCCTGCCCTTCTGAAGTCATCTTCAAGGAGCCTTCACTGTTTTCTCACAGAAATAGATGAATGTTAGATAAAGGCGGGAAACGAGTAAGTATAAATGCAAAGAGAACAAATCACAGAAGCAGGCAACAACCTGTGTGTCTCTTCATCATCGTTAGGAGTTAATGCCATAGCAGAATCCCAAAACTTTTGCATCATAGTGTTTGCAGCTTCTTCATTAACTCCAGCAGTATTTCCTACCTGCTAGTCAAGTGATGATTATTGGATAGTAGAATGATTACAAGTTTTGGATTTATAACCCTAATGATATCATTAAAAATGGTTCGATTGGTTTCAGAGGTTTTCAAAGGCATTGAAAATGGTTAGATTGTTAAACATGTAGCTTCTGTTGCTAAGCGTACCCAGCACCATCACGGGTTTAAACTTTGAACTTTGAAGAATGGTTCAACAAGTTCAGTTTAAATTGCACAAAAGTGTTTCTGTCAGGCATTTAAATCTGTTAAGCTACAAACAAAATCCATATGCCAAGAAAAGTGTTGCCCCTATCTGATTCATTTTTGATTGGCTAGTTTTTTTCCCGGTATCACAGAAATCAAATGATAGTTTCCCATGACAATACACCTCTTTTGTTAGCTAGAGTAGACAATTGCTATATACTTGGTATGTTTTTCAGACTTCTACAAAAACATGAAGTTTTATGAAATGAAAAATGATAGGGTAGGGATTGGTTAGGTTATATGGAGTAGATATGAGTTTACTGTCATGTCCTTATTAAGTTACTCTTTACCTTTTATTGTGTAGGATACCAACTATCCCTATCCCTATCATTGCTCTAACAAAATAGTAAATCCCAGAAGTAAAATTCAAAAATTTATTTTGTACTACGACACCAACTTTGTTTCCCCAATATTACATTATTAAAGACAACAAGATGTAGATCAATACTTCCAGCACCATCTGGGGTTTTAGAAACTGTTTTGCACTAAAATGATGCATAAATGCGTGTCTTACCGTGGAAATAGCAGCACGAGTGATATGAATTACATCTACAACATCAACAATTGCTCCATCTGCAGTAGATCATAAATAAGAAGTGCTACACATAACTTGTCAACCATTTTCTGTTCTTCAAAAAGGTGAATTACCTTTATCAGCAATGGGCATGTGTAAAAACTGCCCATCATGCATCCTATGTAAAGCATCCAAAATAGGTGTATCAACACTTGCACATTCTGGATTAGGGGTCATGACCTACAGTTTAGATTAAAATAAATGGTGAGAAATATAA